CCCTCAGGCGGCCCTGCCCTCGCCGGCTCCTGCCCCTCTGCAAAATACTGCCACAGAGAAACGTGAGCCGGGGCGGTGCGGACAGCTCGAGATTAAAATAGCTGTAAGGCAGCCTGCGTGATTGAGCAGATAAGCGGTGACCTTAGGACCGTGGAGGTGTGGCACCTCTTCCCTGCCCGCGCCGGCTCCTGCCCCTCTGCAAAATACTGCCACAGAGAAACGTGAGCCGGGGCGGTGCGGACAGCTCGAGATTAAAATAGCTGTAAGGCAGCCTGCGTGATTGAGCAGATAAGCGGTGACCTTAGGACCGTGGAGGTGTGGCACCTCTTCGCGGCTTTGTTTCTGACTGAGTGCTTACTACAAACTGAGCCCTTCTGCTAATTCATGCTGTAGCCTTCGCGTTTCTAACAGGGGGTTAATGGTAATATTTGTCTGTCTTTCATGTTTATTAATCACCGTAGGCTGGAGTATGCTTACTAAGTGTCATTTTACTAGTCTGATGGGGTTTTTTTTAGTCACCATTGCTGCATTTAAACAACAAGGGAAAATTGATTCCGTGTTGTTTGTGCATCATGATCCACGTGACTTCGTGACTTTGAAGTGGGCTGGATTGGCTGGTTTCTTGGAATCTAATTTTTGTGATAAGTAAAGTGTGGTTTGCCCAAAACAATGGTGACTCCAATACATTCTTCATCGTGTTTATCGTAATCAAACAGTATTCTGACAACAGCTCTCTCTTTAGAGATCTCCTGGGAATTGGAAATCTTCCCTTGCTCACGTTGGGGTGATGTTCTGCTGGGTGCATGCTCTTCCAGTGTAATTATTCAGTGTTGCAAAAAAAGTCATACCAGTTTGCTGTAAATACGTAGTTACTATTTAGCATAGGCAAAATACCTGCCCGCCTTGAAAGCTGATGCATCCAGCAGGCTGTTGGTACAGCCACTTCCAGGGGGTGAGTGTGGCTGTGAACAGCAGAACAGCAGCCATACATAGAGGCAAACTGAGACATAAGTAGTTATCAGAAGAGTTATAATTAGCCAACATATATGTCATGTTTGGAGGATGAAAGTAATTATCATTTCAAGTGGAGCTGTTGTTAACAGCCACAGCCTTTTTCCCAACAGGCCATCTCTGATAAGTGCTTTTGCAAGGAAGGGCAGTTCGATGGAATGTGGCCGCTTGCGAGTGTCAACTGCGATAGGGACAAAAATCTCACCCTGGAAACATCTGCTTCAGGATTTTATTAGGCTTCTTGAAGCAAGGAAACAGCTATACATGCATGTTAAACATACACACTTCGGAGTCTTGCTTCCATAATTTCTTCTAGGACTCAAGCATCAGCAATTTACCTACTTTTTTTATCTTAAGGTGCCTGCCTGACACCTTCCCTTTCTTCTCCAACAGACACAGCTGAACTGTGGTTTCTATCAGCATGTCCATCAGCAGCTCAAGCTGCAGCTTCAGGTAATTGTTTTCCTTCAAAAGGGCTTGGTTCTTTTCCAGAATTTCACTGGCCTTTTCCCACAAAAGCGAAGAGGACATCTGCAGCCCTGCTTGCTGGGGAGAAGAACTGTTCTCCTTTTCCCACTTGCCTTCCCGGAAAATAAATTTAGCCTCGTTCAAGTGAGCCCGGGGAGGGCCGTAATCTAAGCCAACTTCAGTCTGCCGGGTTTTATAGTCCACCTGGTAGAAAATGGGCAAATAGGTGATTTGGCGGAGGGGAGGCCTCTTGGGTAGAAATCTGCGGGAGAAATGGTCTGCCCAGCAGTCACGCAGCCCCTGTGCTACATTTCCAATGACGTTCATGGTGAGCGAGGCTGGAAGCAGAGACCCCCACCAGGACAGCATGGGCACCGAGCCAGCCTGCAGAGAGATGCACAAAACTGAGCAGGCATGTAAGTGTTAAGCTCGACCAAAGGACAGCAAATAAAGTTCTCCCTTGTAGCCTCTTACCTGCTCAGGACATGCTGCCTAGTACCAGTCATAAATTGCTGCTTGCAAGCTTTCTTAGTTTCTTTACTAGGCAAGAAAATGATAGGGAAACTGTACGGCCCAGGTTTGTGGTCATAAACACTTCTAAACATACGGAAGGTGGTACATACTGCATGTCTGCAGGTGATGCAGATGCTGGTCACGGAGTAGGTTTTGGTGGTAATGTTGCAATGCAAAATAAATTATCAATAATCCTATTGTGTGCAAGAATCGGCCATTTCAGGGAGAAGACAGGGATCAGAGTTTAAATATCTGCTTCTGAAAAGATGACAGAACTCATTATCTGCTATCCTAGCCCCATTGCTCTATGTTCCTTTCCTTTCTCTCCTTCCTAGCTAGATGTTATCTGTTTGTTCTTCTGCTTCTGTCATAAGCCTCATCCTTCATCTCTCAGCTATGTGCTGTCTTACCCTGAACGTGTTGCCTGTTTCTTGCATTTGCATATAAACATGTATAATTCAGGATCTAACAGTTAATCTGCAAACCTGATTAACTCTCAGCAAATACCTCTAGCAGCTCACTCCCGTTATCATCTGAGGTCTGTAAGTGGGGAACGCGTGGAAGTCTCTTACAACTAACACTTTTTAGGTTTTTCTGTATAATGGGACCTCTAGGTAAAAACCCTAGAATTCAATTAGGACCTTTCCATCACTATCCATGGCTTTAGAACCAGCCTCTAGATGTGATGCTGTGACAAATACAAGCTAAACAATACTATTAAATATGTATGATATGTGTTCTACTGTATTAGATAACATGGCCACGTTGATGATCTTTCGACCAATTCACAGCTTTGCTAATTCAGCCTCTGTCTCCCTTTTGTTTTGGGCAAATTACGAAGCTTTTCAGTTCCTTACGCTGCACCTTTACTTTCTTCCTCTTCACCTTTTCTGTCTGTTCATTACGCTGCAAGTGCTGCTCTGTAACTGAGGCTGGGCAGGAGCTCCTGTTTCCCTGCTTTCCTAATCTGTAGTTTACTAAGAAGCCTGTCTGGAAGCCAATTTGTGAGGCTGGTAGACAGTCGGCTTTAGTGAAAAGCAGATACCTAAGTTCAGGCCCCACCCCACCCCCGCGGCTGCTGCCGTGCCGTTTGAACCGGTCACCCTTCCCTTTATGCCGCCTTATCCGTAGCGTAGGCTCGGCATCCTTAGTCACTGAGACAATGGAAGAAATGCCTCTGTTCTGCTCCCTCTATGATCTTGTCCTTTCAGGGCTCATTTTGGAGTTCACCTGTGCGATGCTCTTCTGTTCATTAGTGTTAACGTTTGGGTTTTGTACCATGGTAATTATGAGAATCAACAGAATACGTTTTGCTTTTTACTGGTAACAGCTACCTTTCTGTGAATGCAGTTACAGCAGTAGAAGAGGTGTCCTCTTCCAGTACAGCTTAGGTATCTACACTCTTCAGCTGTGCTCTCCGCCTGACTCTGAGCTAGGTGGGCACGTGTCAGCTCTGATCCAAAGGCCATGCGGCCATGCAGTGCTGTATTGAGCTAATAAGGCTGACCCCTGAGAAGGTTTCTTTGCTCAAGCAGAGCATTTACAGCTCTTTGGTGGTTCAGTGTTGCACCCACTGGGAGGAAGGTGGGCAATAGTCCCTTTGCATCAATTGCAACAAGCCTTGTCTGAAGAGCCTGCCTTCCTCCCGGGAGGAGAATTGAGCTGTACAGCTGCAGATACCTTACAGTGGGGTGACTGAGTCCGATCTTGGGAGAGTGCGCTGCACTGGCTATGCCAGGACAGCTGAAACAGTGCGTTTCCAGCGTATAGGGCAGCGCCCGAGCTCTTGTTATACCTGGGAACTCTGTGCCAAGGACCCGCAAGGCCCTGGTACCACAGCAGCTTCCAAGGTGTTCAGGTAGGGCTGCCAGCCACACTCTGACAGGGGTGCCATCAGAAACCCATTGCAGTCGATGAGCTCAGGCAGGACCCTGGATTTAACTGCCCCTGTTCATGAAATGGAGCCTATTTCAGCCACTCACCAATTGTGGACCCAGGAGCAGTGACCGCAGAGACTCATTGGTTTCGTGCTTGCTGGCATGATGATCCCAATTTCCCAAAGTCCCTTTCCCCGTGTCATATTCATCTTAGTGTCATAGCTAGTGATAGTGACTCACAATCACTGTCCAGCCTGCAATGCTGCACGGGGTGGGGTGCTGGCGTAGCCCCCTTTATATCTCCCACTCCCCGCAGGTAATGTTGCCGTAGCTGTTTGGAGTCGCCCACCTTTCTCTTGTCAAGTAAAGCGATGAGCATGCAACGCGGCTGAGGCACAGGCCACGCGTGCTGCTGACGCAATTCTTCGTTTTGATTCCCGTTGCAGGAGCGCTCTGAGGGACTCTGCAGTCTTCCTCAATGCTGACCCTACTTTTGACTCTTCCTACGTAGCTTTTAGCACGTAAACACTGGAAATGCCAGAACCCGCAGCAAGACACAGGGTCAGCAGAGGCTGGAGCAGGGCATCCTCTTTCCTAAACTACCACAACGCATGTCCCAGCTCTCCTCCCGAGGGAGGGCATTCACGCGAGGGCACGTGTGTCTGAGGCCACATCCCCCTCGTACACTATGGCTCTGCCCTTACCAGGGAGAAAGATGAATTCTCGGTGCTCTCCAACAAGCGGTGATTACTGGGAGGTATAAAACTGGTGAAGACGAGGCAAACCGTAGTATTGAAGTGTGGACTTTCCTAGCCTCCCCGTCTGGACCTGCTAACGTTCAAAGTGACACACTGCTTTGGTTTTGCGTGCATTTTACTACGTCATCTCATCTAGGAATGGTTTTAACTTCACAGGGCCGTGGCCTGTCGTAAAGGGAACGTTTGCTTGCAGGCGCGGGGCCTGCTCTTGCCGGCCTGTCGGAAACAGCCTGCGCCTCCATCCACAGCTGTGCCTCTTGTGCGACCGCGCGACGCTGTCAGCCGCCGGATACGTCGCGGGTCAGCCGCAGGCCGCCTCTGTCAGTGCTTCGCTAACTTCTCGCCGTCTGTTCAGCGTGCATCTGGCTGTGGCCCCAGCGCTCCCTCTCCGCCCCAGCTGAGCGCTCCTTCCTCCGAGCAGGAGAAGTGGGTGGCTCTGGGTTTGTTCGGATCGATGGGGTTCTGGCTCTTGCTGCCCAGAATGTTCTTCACAGTTTTGACATTGATCAATACGTAATTCAAAATGATCGCACAGGCAAACACAGAAATGCTGTTCTGGTGAGAGTGAGACCTCTGCCGACTCAGCAGACAAAATGGGTCACGACAGTGGTTATTTCTGTTACACAACTCCAGTGCGACTTCCTTTCTTTTTTCTTGCCCTTGAAGCCGCTTGAACGTAAACAAGTAAAAACAAGGCCGGTAAGAAAATCAGGATGAGGAAAGGAGAAGGGAAAGGAAAGCTTCCTCCCATGCGTGCTCCAGAAATGAACTTCCTCATAGTTTCAGCAGGCTGGCTCCTGCAAGCTTTGATCCTGGAGCCCTGTGCGAATAAAGACCCATTGAGAAGTCCGGCTACAAATTAGCATTTGAATTCCCTTATGGTTTGTTGTCAGATGGGCAGGAGGTGGGTGCTAGTCTTGGTCTCTCAGCACTGACACACAAAGGTGGCTTTAAAAAGTTAAAAAGTCCTCGTTTTTCTAGGGGAAAAGAAGTGCACTGTTCAGACTATGGATGCTTCAATTTTCCTTTTTTTTTCCCCCCCCCGCTTTGCATTTCTCCTCTGCTTCACACCCTTCCCTGGAGGAGGCCGAGTTGTAGATAGACCCGTCTGGGTATTGTTACCCTGGTCTGACCTACTTCCTGGCCTCCCCTCTCCTGGTGTTGTGGATGCTGGTGCTATAGCAACCCGGGTGACGTCCAGCATCACAAAGTGAGGTCCCCACCGCCGGAGCCCTCCTCTCCCAAACACCCCCTGAAGACAGTTAGCACTTGCGCTTCCAGGAGAAACTTGGGGTGTGCTTGGTCCGTGCCAGCTGGCCGCGCTGCGGAGGGATGGCGTTCCTCATCCCTACGCTCGGGTGCCTTCCCCCCGCAATCCCACGGCACCGCGGAGGTCGCAGCGCTGCTTGGGGCTGCGTGTGATCTGTAGCTGTCTGCATACCGGACCTGTGTGTGCACGAATCCTGCACAGGCTGCCACATGACATGTAAGAAAGTACACGTGTGTGTCCTGGAAGTTTTCGAGATAAAAATAAGCTGCTCACTTCTGAAAAGCGGCGCTGAAGCCTTGCGGGAAGCTTGGCTGGGTTCCTGCAAGTTCTGGGCTCCTGGGTTCCTGCGCCGTGATCCGGCAGCCGATTGCAATTATTTTGTTGGTGGGACAGAGCTATGCACTTTCATCATCTGCTCGTTTGCTCACGTGGGAACAAGACGGATCCAGGCGGAGGAGGCTTGTTTACAAGTACAACGCGTCTGCCTTTCTTCTGGTAGAAAAGTTCTCGCTGGTTCTTTGCTCTTTGCTGGCCTCCAGCCTGGCTGGCTGCTTCACCTCAGTGGCTGCAGCCATATCGGAGCAAATTTGCTTCCAAATATCTTAGGCCAAACCTTTTTCCTCCCCGTTGTTAATACCGATCTGGCAGCTGTAAAAGGAGGAAGCAGGAAGGAGTCCAGGAGTCTGTAAAGCACTTGTAGGGTTTCTTTATGTCCTTAATAAGCTGCCTTGAGAGGATTTCAACGAGGACCCAGGCTGCCCCTGCTCCAGTAACCGTAGTACCAGGGCCTGGCCTGGCACAGGTGAAACTTTAAACAAGATGGTTTGTGCTGCCATGGGCATGGCTCAGGGTGAGCGAGCGATGCTGCGGACACAGCTCTGGGTACAGCGACTGATGCCGTGGGCAAAGCTCTGGGCGCAGCGAGTAACGCTATGGGTGCAGTGAGCGCTGCCGTGGGCAATGCCCTGGGTGCAGCGTGCGCTGCCACGGGCGCAGTGAGCACTGTCATGGGCACAGCTCTGTGTGCAGCGAGTGCTGCCATGGATGCGGTAAGCGCTGCCATGGACAAAGCTCTTGGCACA